ATTGCCAATTGAACACAGATCCTATCCAAGGTTTTCACAAATTCTGCAACCATTTCCTACACCAGACAGGCGATTTTTGGAGTTCTGGATTTCACAGATTTATAGTCTATATAACCAGATGTAAACATGCATCTATTCGCACACACACATATATTTTATTTTATTATTATTTTTTCTTTTTCACACATATATTTTAAGGTACGTTTCTGAGATAATAGTGGCAAACTTTAATCTTTCCAAAGAACGAAAACACAAAATTACCATTTAATATCACCACTGCTTTACAAAGAAATGCATTCCCCCCCTTTGCTTAAATTATGTTTATGAAAACATTTCACATTTTCTGTCATATTTTTCATGTATCACTGTCATAATGATGACTTTGTCACAGATTAGCAGCAGTGTATGGCGAAGAAAGGTATCTGGGAATCATGGTGCTAGACTTCTCAGTGTTCCCTAAACATATACTGCTTGATGGTATTAGGATTCACAGACTTCTGTTAATTATAGGAATGGCCGGGGAATTCAAATAACTGTGTCCATCAAGGTCTTGGCAGGAAACAGGCACAGTCAGCAGGGATTTTAAAAATAATCTAACAGGGCAATATTTACAAAGGTATGGCCAGGGATAGGGGCATCAATAAGGCAGGGGGAAGCATCCAGGAATTAGTAGCAGCAGGAAGTCCCCAGGGCTGCAGGGAACAATAGTTGCTATCAAAACTCAGGGGGCACTTCTAGAACTTTTAGAGGAAGGAACAAGAATCCTGAGGCCTTAGCAGAGAGCAGAGAAAGAAAAGTCTCTTCTCCTTCTGACTGCTTGCTAATGCCTCTCACTGGTCAATTTAGCAGCAAAAAGAGGGTAGGAGACAGGTGGACACAGTCTAGGGTCAGACCCGTCCTCTGTGCAGAGCAGGGAAAAGGAAAAGAGATGAAGTGAAATGGGAAGTAAGGAGCCAAGGAACTTTCTCCCATCCTATTTACAAAAACATAAGGCTAATTTGAATTGCAGAATTGCAATGTCCCTTCTTTGTTTCCCTTTCTTTAGCTAACTGCCTTGGAATGCCTACGTGCAGCAATCTTTTCCACCCTTTTCACTTGGTGGCACCTAGCAGTCAACAAAGAGGGTCCGGGAGCCATGCATAAAATACTGGGTGGGAAAGCTTTTTTTTTTTTTTTTTTTCACTTTCTTATCTTAGAACGCTAGTACAGAGATGATTCTACATATTAAATTTTTTTTAAAATTTTTTTTATTTATGATAGTCCCACAGAGAGAGAGAGAGAGAGGCAGAGACACAGGCAGAGGGAGAAGCAGACTCCATGCACCGGGAGCCCGACATGGGATTCGATCCCGGGTCTCCAGGATCGCGCCCTGGGCCAAAGGCAGGCACCAAACCGCTGTGCCACCCAGGGATCCCTCTACATATTAAATTTACGTGAAACTTCTTACTGACATTTAAAATTCTGAAATTTCTTAGCAAGAAAATCTTGATTCCATGATTTTTTGTTTTGTTTTGTTTTGCAGGGTCAGTCACAATGCTTAAGACGTTAAGTTCTCTTCATATTCTTGAGAGTCACTACTGACTAAAAATGTTAATGAAACAGATAAACCACTTTTATAGCCAACCAAAATTTATAAGAAATGAGATATATTTAGTCTTTTTTTTTTTTTTTAATAGGCACCCAGTGTGGAGTCCAGTGCAGGGCTTGAAGTCACAACCCTGAGTTCAAGACCTGAGCTGAGATCAACCAACAGCTGGCCGCTTAACGGGCTGAGCCACCCAGGCACCCCCACAATGAGGTAGTCTTTAAAGAAAAGCTCTTCTTTCCTTATAAAGGCAGCATAATGTTAAACTTTATCATGATGATGCAAATGAATTTTGAATCTGAAGATTTCTCGTATCAAGTATTTCAAAATTTTTCTGGAAGTTCTGATTTTCAGAACATACATGCATTGTTAGAGTGGTCTTTCTACTGTCAGCTTTGAGGCTGCTTAAAGCCACATATGGTGCAAGTGGAAAGGAGTGTCTCAAATTTGTGGGAAAAGAGATTTGGGAGTGGACATCTACACCTGTGCCTATGAGGTGAGTTCTCCAACACGCTCCCCTGAATTCACTAGGGCGACGCCCTGTCCTTCTTGGACATCTGGAACCCTTCCGCTGACTTCCTGGGCCCCTCACCCGGGACAGTTTTCCCGAGAAAGATGGATTGCATTGTTGGAAAAAAAAAAATGACAAATGCGTCTGCAAAGTTTTTACGAGAGATCTCTCTTCAAAAGTTGTGCCAACTTGACAGATGGTAACTATACTTATACTGTGGTGAGCACTGCTCAATGTATGGGATTGTCAGCTCCCTAAGTTGTACATCTGAAACTAATATAACATTATATGTCGGCTGTATTTCAATAATAAATTTTTTTAAACGGTGTGCCAGCTTGTTATTTATTGTTGTTACTGAAGCATACAGAGAGACCTATTCTTACCCCTGTTTTTGAATGAGGTCATGGAGTCAGGATGAGGTGTAATCATTGCCCAGCATATCTGCCCCCCCCCCGCCCCCCAGGGACTGTAAAAAGGTCAAAACACTTTCCTCCCATGAAGCAGGTTCCTGGACGAAGGAAAAGCCCTCTAGGTCTGTCTTGCCTGAAGATGTGGCATCCAGGTTTACTTATTTATATAGACAAAGATTATTTCAACAACCAGATAGCTGAAATTAATATGGTGATGTGTAAATATGGCATTTTCCAGAGTAGAATAAGGAGATATCAGAGTATTTCTCTTCTGTTGGTTGCTCAGCTGCACTGTGTCCTATAATTTCTGGCAGATTGTATAGCTTAAAAGAACCAAAAATGTAGACCTGACCTAGAGACTAAACCCAATTCGACTTTTCTAGTCTTTACAGTCCACTGAACAACATTGTATTAGAAAACTCGCGGGACCAAGAGTAAATATTGCAGCAGCAAGATGCATCTCTCTTCAATCAAGTGTTCTTCACCATTGCCCATACCAGTGTCGGTGGTCGCTCTTTTACATTTGGGACGAGTGGAATTTAGGGAAGATGTGGGAAGATGTATTCTTTGGAGGCTTATAGAATAACACCAAGTGCCAGTGTTTGTTGTTTATATATGTCATACACTGTTCTGCAGACTTGTACTAGTTGGGTGCATGTAGCTGAAAGTGACAAAAATGAAAGTAAAACTGGCACACGTGCCAAAAGCAAACCAACAAACCCAAACAACCAAACAAATAACACACCCGCACAACCCCACAACTGGGAACATTTAGGGCTATGATCCCAAACAGGGTTAGTCTTAGCATTGTTGTGATCCAACGTAGTCTTTGTGATTCTGAGATTCTTTAGGCCCTGGGAAGTCGATGGCTGTGGCAGCTTTGGGCTCCATATAAATCTATAACAATATCAAGAGGAAGACAGAAACTCTAGCGTGCCTGCTACTCACCTTGTATACGCTCGGCCTGTTGCCACTTCCTCTTCCTACTGGTCAATGCTCACGCTCAGCGTTCATGCTCCACCAACTCTGAAGAGTAAGAAAGCATCCTCTGAGTCATCTAGGCCTAACTGATGGAAAATGATTCACCTGGTCATTGTTGAACCAATTTCTGTCATTAGGAAACGCTATCCAATGAAAGGCTTAGGACTGGTTTCCTAAATCAATTCTGAATTGAGAGAAGGAGGGGCAGGTTAAGATGACTGGCTCAAGATTACCAGGCACCACCCTTGGGCGAAGTCAGTATTCCAAATCGCATTGTTACCATTCAAAGTGGGTGGGAGTGGGCAGCCCCAGTGGCTCAGCCCTTTAGCGCCTGGCTTCAGCCCAGGGCCTGATCCTGGAGACCAGGGATCGAGTCCCACGTCGGGCTCCCTGCATGGAGCCTGCTTCTCCCTCTGCCTGTGTCTCTGCCTCTCTCTGTGTATTTCTCATGAATAAATAAAGAATTTTTTAAAAACTTAAAAAAAAAAAAAGTGGGTGGGAGTGACTGTAGAATGGACATTAAGAGACAGTCAAGAAACCGAGTATGGCATTTTGCATTTGCTATCTCATTTCATCTTCCCCAAGACCCCATGAGGTAGGATTTTCGTGGAAGCCCTTCTTTTCTGAACCTCAGCTGTTGATGTTGCTTAACCGCCACGGTTTGAATGATTACCACGTTTTAACAAAAATCTGAAACTCGGCCTTCTATCCGCTGTCCTAATTTACGGCTATCCTGGGAATTTAGGGATCAGAACCAGGAAGTGGGAGATTGCTCCTGGTAATTGTAGACCACACTGTACACGTTCCTGTCATCGTTTTACCTTACTATTTCTCTCATTTGGATTTTCCCTTATTCCATGATTGCTCAAACAGCTGAAGGCCTAAATGAAGTACTGGTCCTTTATAAAGCTTTCCTCAAACTCCCCAGTTTACACCTGGCCTCTCCCAGAACCATTCTTACAATTCTTAAAACATAGGACATGTGATTTGCGTTACCGTTAAGTGTGTTTCCGTGTCCCTCCCCACTCCTGCCTCAAGACTGTATGTTTAAGTGAAAGCCCTGCCATCATCATCATCTTCCAATCCCCAACACTTTGCATTCCGTAGAAGTTCAGTAAATGCTCACTGAAGGTTGTTGAATTAAACGGAGCATTAAAGAGAAGCTCTAAACCCCAGGTTTTTTTTCTTTCTTCTAAAGGGGAAAACTTCCTAGACCTTGTTTACCGAAAATAGGCTAATGGGAAATATGTGTAACTTTACACATTATAAGGCTCAAGTAAGGACTTACAATAAAATAGCATTTTAAACAGGTAAGTGGAAAGGTGGGAGTCTGGAAATGTTAACATGGACACATCTTTCCGTAAGGTCTCACTCCATCCTGAACTAAAGGCATCTTTATTGAATTTCTTTCACCTCCTTGAATGGATTAGACCTTCTCAGCTCAGGTACCTGCGACCTAACGGTTCCCTCGGCCATGAAAACAATTCTCAACCCTCATCTTTTGAGTTTTCAGGTGAAAAGCCAGTTTCTTCAGGAGGCCTCCCTATCAGGTAAGTCTTCCTGACTTGTCTCTGTTATATCCTCCTATCACATTTCAGGCCATTTGTTTAAGGTCTCTCTTCCATGTCAGGAGGTGAACCCCTCCAGTGGGACAAGAGCTACATTCATCACTAAATCCCTAGTGTCTGCATGAGGAGACATAAGTGATCAATAAAGGAATAAATGAACGAATGAGTGACGGCTGTACATTTCCCAAAGGCAGGCTGCACGTTGGGCTCAAAGTGTCTAGGAGTCAATACAAAGAATTTTAGGGTATATGGTATCCTGGGCATAAAATCAAGTAACACTACAGGACGAAATGAGTGTGGGTTGATAAATATCAAAAACTGAAGGGCGTCTGGGTGGCCCAGTGGGCCCAGGTCCTGGACTAAGTCCCCGCCTTGAGCTACCTGCCCAGCCAGGAGCCTGCTTCTCCTCCTCCTCCTCCTCCTCCTCCTCCTCCTCCTCCTCGACCCATGCTCTAATAAATGGATAAAATCTTAAAAAAAAAAAAATGAATTAACAACATAAGCATCACTGCTTTATTTGTCCATTAAAAAAAAAAAAAGATGTAGGAATGCTCATTCTGGTAAATGAAACATGCTTCTTCCCCCTCTTAAATCTCTCTTTCCCTTTTGTTGAGACAAAACCTCAGTTGTGCCGGCTTCAATCAGAGTTTTGGCCGGTGTCTAAGCATTGCACTAAAAGTTAGGCAGCATAAACAAAAAAGTCTAGAATTAAAAGGGAAACAAAAAAGTGAAAAAGGTTGCATTACATTTGACAGAAGAGCAGTTATAAAGAAAACTTTTTCAGTAAATAAAACTACTAATTTTAATGGTACTGGCATAGCACATGACTGGGATGTCCATAAAGGGAATGAGCATGAAACATTATTTCAGTAGTGATAAAAAAAATTATAAGTCAAATAAAATCCTGAGGATAAAATCCTTCAAGCCTGTCAATTCCGCTCACCTGAGCCATGTCACCAACATCAGGAAGGGAGAAATTCTTGTGGGCATTTGCAACAATGCAACCTCTAGAAACAAAAAAAAAAAAAAAACAAAACAAAAAAAGTGCAACCTCTAGAAGGTGGCAAATACACATCTGCTGAGTGCAAGAATGGGTGAAGAATCCAGGGGGCCCTCCAGAAACAGATCCTTCCTCCTCTCCCCCTGCCCTGCCCCAGTCTCAGTCAAACACCCTCTTGTCATTTTGCTCCATTGGTCCTTTGCGTGAAATGAAATTCCACTAAGCTGCCTTGCCATGGAAATAATGAAAACGGAAAAAAAAAAAAAAAAAGGTGCAAAATTGCAATGAAAATTCAAGCTCTTTTTAGAAGATCTTTAATGAAGCATCAATGTCGAAATTTCCTGGTTTCTTTCAAGGAACCTGGGCCTCCAGTGCTAATAGAACGAACCAGCAACCTGAAGGCCCGGAATCGAAGACAGTCAGTTAATTAGTTAACGGGAGGTCAGCACTTTTTTTTTTTTTTTTTTTTTTAAACTAAACTGAATCAACTACGCATTTCGTCCACTGTGGAGCAGCAGGCCCGGCATTACCCACTCGGCCGACCGTCTCAGGCAAAGCTCAGGAAATTTCCCCTGGGGGCTGCTTTCCAACTGGAAGGAAGCGTGCAGACGCCGGGGACCGACCCCGAGCATCTCGGACCCCGAGCATCTCCCACCCCGAGCATCTCCCCGCGATGCTCCGCCCCCACCTGCGGCGCCCCGGGTTTATTGTCCGCCGACCCCGACCGCCCGCCCCCTTAAGGGCGGCGGCCCCCTTAAGGGCGGCGGGCTTCCCCCAGCTCCCGCCTTCAAGGGCCCGGGATGCCCGGATGGAAGCCCCGTGCGATTGACAGGGGGCTGGCCCAATAGCGCCGGGCGGGGGGCGGAGCCTTCCCGCGGGCGCCCCGGTCGGCGCGCGGGGGCGCGGCGTGCCCGGGGCGGGCGCGGGCGCGGAAGCGGAAGCGCGCGCGGCCGCATGGAGTCGCTGCTGCAGCAGCTGGAGCGCTTCTCGGAGGTGCTGGCCGTGTCCCGCACGGCGGCGGTCAGCGCCTGGGGCCCCGCCGCCGTGCGCAGGGCCGTGCAGTGGGCTCGCTACCTGCGCCGCGCGCACGGCCGGCTCCGCGCGGCTCTGGAGGGGCGGCGGCGGGCGGGGCCGCGCCTCGGGGCCTGGTGCGGCCGCGACGTGGTGCTGTCGGCGCGCCTGCTGGGGAACCGCGCGCTCGGCGCCGCCGCGCACCGCTGCCTGCTGCGCCTGCTCTTCCCGGGCCCCGCCGCCGCGCCCGCCGCGCCCGCCGCCCCCGCCGCCGCCGCCGCCCCCGCCGCGCTGCAGGCCCGCCTCGCCCGCCTCGCCCGCCGCCGCGCCGCCGTCCGCCTGCTGCTCCGCGGGGGCCCGGCCGAGGACGCGGCGCTGCGCGCGCAGGCGGAGCTGCTGCGGCGGCGGCTGCGCGACGGGCCGGCCGGCGGCCTCCTGGACGGGCTGTGGGCGCGCGCGCCGCGGGCCGCCTTCCTGCGCGCCACGGCGGCCGCGCTGCTGCTGGACCCCGCGGGCCCCGCGCCGGCCGAGCTGCTCCGCTGGCTGCTGGGCCGCGCCGACGCCCTGGCCGCGCTGTGCCGCGCCCTCCCCGCCGCGCGCCTGGCCGCGCTGGCCGCCCGCCACCCGGCGCTGCGCCGCGCCTACCTGCGCCAGCTCGCACGCTGGGGCTGCCGACTGCGCTACGACCTGCCCTCGGGCCGCTGGGAGGCCGCCGCGCCCGCGCACGTGTCCTGGGCCGAGCTGCGCGGCCGCTTCCTGAGCCTCGCGCGGGCGCCGCCGCCGCTCAAGGACGCCGCCCTGGCCGCGCTGGAGGCCTGGAGCGCGCGGGACGGCGCCTTCCGAGTGCGCGGCCTCAGCGTCTGGACCGACCTGCTGCTGGCGCTGGGCCCGGGGGCCGCGGCCCGCCCCGCACCTGCAGCCCCGCCGCGACCGACCGTCTAGGGGCTGCGTCCTCCTCGGGCGTGGCCCGGCCCGGCCCGGCCCGGCCCGCAGCCCCGAACACGCGCACTTAGCAAAGTGACTATAAACACCTGGTTTTGTTTTTTGTTTGTTGTTTTTTTTTCTTTTGCTGCCGCCATATGCCTTAACTTCGTAGGTCTTCCCACCAGCACCTCCTCTCGGTACTGCTGCTTGTCACCTGCAACAGGTGCGCTCAAAAGAAACAGAGAAACAACACTTCGTTTGGAAAGCTAACCGGCCAGTTTGGAGTTTAAAGCTGGGATTTTTGGCCTTTTTGACCCAACCTGTATTAAAACAGCCTCCACATGTGCTAAGATTGCGTCGTTCAGTAAGTTTGTTTCTTATTTATTATTTTTTATTTTCTCTTTTGAAGGCATTTTATTTTTTTTTTTTATTTATGTACGAGAGACACCTGCAGAGGGAGAAGCAGGCCCCACGCGGGGAGCCCGACGCGGGACTCGATCCCAGGACCCCAGGACCCCAGGACCACGCTCTGCGCCCAAGGCAGGCCCCGAGCCGCTGAGCCGCCCCGGGATGCTCAGTTTGTTTCTTATTTCTGCAGATCACGACCCTCCCGAAATCCAGAGACCAAAGAGTATACATACTTTTTTTTTTTTTTTTTTTTTTTTTTTTGACCAAACGGTACTTTTGTTTATTCATTTTTTCCCAAACGGTATTTTAAAGCACGGACCTAAGAATGAGGGAGAGAAAAAACTGCTTCGAGTATAATAAATGGCAAACATACACCCTTGGATTCAGCATTTGATGGTAAAAGAAACCCCGCATGGATGGAAGGCTCAGATTTTGGTGCTTCAGCCATGGACTGGGTTAATAAATCACAATCTTGGTGCTACAGTTGCCTCATATGTTGAATGAAGTGTTTAAAAATTGCCGAGTTTCCTCATTTTTCCTCTCATGCCTGCCCTGTAGGGACAGTTTAGAATATTTGATGTGTGTGCTGGCTACTTACAAATGTTCTGATTCTAATGGAAAATGCCTAAGATTTGGCTTTTGGAGAATAAGGCCCATGTATGGTGTCATATCTATGGTGTCGTATGGTTTACAAAGTCTTAGGGTCACCATCTAGCAGAGTCTCTGTGAGGCAGGGCAGTGTGCTGTGAGCTCTGGATTGTATTAGTTGAGACTCCAGATTGAGTATCAGGGTAGCAATTTGTCCAGCATTGTATGGCTCCTACGTGGTGAAGCCAATGTACCTGGATCTTTTCTGACTTAAACTGCTCCACAGATCTAGGTGATTTTAGGTGATTGTTGATTTGAAAACCGATATTCAGTTGTAAGGTCTGCATCATCGTCGTATACTCCAAACTACACAAGGCCTAGCACGTTGGGTATATGTATCTACATACATTTTTAATTGAAATTCAATTCAGTTAATGTGTATTATTAGTTTCACGGGGAGGATTTAGTGGTTCATTATTTGTGTATAAACCGGGTGCTCCTTCCATCAATCGCCCTCCTTAATGCCCATCACCCAATTACCCCAAACTCCCACCCACCCTCCCCTCCTCAGTTTGTTCCCTCCATTTTTTCAATGTTCTTTAAGTTTGGGTTATTACCACCTGCTGTAACTGTTACTATGTTATTTCACTCTGAATGAGAGTTTATTCATCCGCTAAGTGGAAAAATGCTACCTTTTCTACTACTTAACATAATTAAAAGATAAAAATGATAACGCGTATGAAAGTGATGTCAAGTTATAAATAGGCATATTCTCTTCTTTAGGTTGATACACATAAATACATATCTGTAAATTATGATCTACATTTAACCCATTAGAATTTATGAAAAGCAGCTATACATAAACATATAACAAGGACCAAGAATGAAACTTAGATTTGACCATTAAAATGAATTTAAGAATAAGATGCGGTTAAAATGAGGTTGAGAGTTTAATGTAGTAATACATTTTGTTGTATAAGTAATATGTTAACAATATTAAAGGAATATTCCGTCACCTTGGCACTATTTTAATGTCTGTGTATTCCTTTCCATCTTTTGGTCACATTCCACTATTTCTATAGCTATAGCAAATGTACTTAGCATTTCTAGATTTCATAAAGTTATCAAACATTCTCATGTTTAGCCTTTAAATATAAAATAAGGAAAATCTGCAGTAATTATAGACAAAGTCTGGGGTGTCTGGGTGGCTCAGGGCGTGATTCCGGAGTCGCGGGATCGGGTCCCACATCGGGCTCCCTGCATGGAGCCTGCTTCTCCCTCTGCCTGTGTCTCTGCCTCTCTCTCTGGGTCTCATGAATAAATACACAAATACTCTAAAAAAAAAAAAAAAATGTACAGACTAAGTCCTAAATAAATATCAGTTGAATACATTTAATGAGGTGAGAATATTGAGGTCTTTTCCACCTTTATTATGTTAACCTTCCTAATGATAATTATTGCATTTCTGGGATATTCAACTTAGTCAAATATTATTATTTTTTTGATATTCTGCTTAATTCCATGTATATTGTTTAGATTTTTGATTCTCAATTCTTAAGTGAGGTTGACCTGTAATTTTTTATTCTTACTTTTGTTTGAAATTATGATTATATTGTCCATACCACATTTGAATTACGGACTGCTTCTATTTTTCTTATTGTATGGAAGAGTTTCATAAAATTGGAATGACCAATTCCTTGAGAGTTTGTTTTTTTTAAAGATTTATTATTTATTTATTTATTTATTATTTATGAGAGACACAGAGAGAGAAGCAGGCTCCCTACAAGGAGCCAGACTCAATACCTAATCCTGGCCTGACTCAGACCTAATCCTGGAACTCCAGGATCACTCAGTTGCAGAGCCACCCAGGCGTCCCTCCTTGAGAGTTTTGTAGAATTATTCTCTACTACAATCTGAGCTGAATGTTTTTTTTGATTACTTAACTAAAATTCAAATTTTGTTAATGGTTGTAATAGCCGTTCATACTTCTATTTCTTCTTAAGTCAGTTTTAGTAAGTTACATCTATCAAAGTTTATTTCATCTAAGTTTTCAAATTTATTGGAACAAAGTGGTTTCTTATTTTTTTTGATCACTAATATTTCTTTTTTTTCCATCATAAGTATATAAAGTTCTGTTTCTTTTTTTTATTTAGCCTGTTTATGCTCTTTTTTTATTAGTCTCTTCAGATGTTAAATGTTACATAATTTTTACCAAGAATTAATATCTTATACATTTTTTCCTTTTCAAAAGCTTCTGCTCTTTATTTTGTTTTATTCTGTCCTTTCCTTCTGAAATGAGAACATTTAGCTTATGTGTAGCTCCTTTTTGTATTATTATATAACATTTAAATTGTCTTCTGAATTCTGCTTTCACTGCAAGTCTCATGTTTTGACATATATCTTTTTTTGATATATAATAATATCTCACCCCCACAATTCAGCTAGAAATGGCCACCCAATTAGTAAATTCCCAACTTCTCTTGCAGTTAGGTATGGTCCTCACACTAGGTTTTGACCAGCTGTATACAAGCAGAATTGATACATACAGCTTAAGATTCACACTCTAAGAATATGAAATTAATTTGCTCTTAGGCCTTGTTTCTCCCTTCCAAAGACCTGGGATGTCAGTACAATGCTAGTGAGCTACTTTGAATCATAGGGTTGAAGGCGACTGGAACAACTGCTATAGGCTTAAAGATGAAGCCCCATGTTTGAATGCTACTCACATCTATGTTTGGCAGGGGGCTGGGGGTGGGGGGTAGGGTGAGGAAGGGTAAGAAAGGTGACTTGGAAATTTCCTTTATTTCCTAAAATTCCAACAAAGCAATAAAAAAGTATGTTTTGTTGAGAATCTAAATGTTTGTAGCAGTTGAGTCCTACCTAAAATACAGTTGTGGCTTTGCCAGAAGTGGAAGTCTTCCTTTTTCCTTTAACCCATACCAACTTCTGCTCTCAATACTCGACGCCGACTTTAAAGGATAGTTTTATGGTATCAAGTTATTTGTCCTCTCCATAACGTTAGACAAACTGGCATATTAAGTAGTTGATGACTATTTATGAATGCATGAGAATGGAGCACATAATAAGGTAGGAATAGGAATGGAGTGAACGTTTCATTAGAGTTACCCTTTGTATCACATCTCTAAGAAACACAAATATTTTTTCTAGTGGCTACAAGGAGGACAAATCTAAACAAGAAGAGTGGGGAACTCAGTACGTGGTAGCATTTTCAAATTGTAACCCAACAATCTGCAAAATCTTTTTTTTTTTTTTTCATGAGAGAGAGAGGCAGAGACACCGGCAGAGGGAGAAGCAGCCTCCCTGCAAGGAGCCCAATGTGGGACTTGATCCCAGGACTCCGGGTGGGCTGAAGGCAGACGCTCAACCGCTGAGCCACCCAGGCGTCCCTAAATAATCATCTAAGACTTCTTTGTTGCGTTTGATATGGATCAACCTTCATTAATGTCAAGATTCAGTTGCTGTGGTTAAATTGCTCAATTTCGCTTGGATTTTATAACTCTTTTACACATTTTTGGAGCTCTGAAACAGTATACTGATGCCCTAAAGTAGTAGCCCGTTATGAACAGAATGGCCCATCTTCCTTAGATAATTGTGGATATAGAATATTTGTATTAGCATAAATTAACATAAATGCTCTAGGAAGGAAGCATTGATTTCTCTTAGGAATTAATTGGAAATGATCAATCACTATCTTAGAAGTGTGGCAGTAGCATCATTTATCAGGTGCTAATTGTCATGGTGGGCTAAGAATGCCCTTTCAGCTTAGAAATCTGATGGCCCTAAGGGAAAGCAGCTTGAATAATTACAATAATTAATGTGTATTCGACTGTCTCCTGAAGCTCCATTACTCTTAATATTGGGGTAAAGGTTTGAGTTCAAAAGAGCTTACAGTGTTTTAAAGTCTCATTGTGGTTTTATCTTTTTATCTCATGGACGATCGGGACTTAAATCTTAGAAAATTTTTATATACAGCAATTCAGAAGTATAAGCATAGGGATATAAAAAGTGAATAATCAGTGTGTGTTTTAAATTTATACATGTACTACAGAGAGTATTATCAACTTCTGAATGAGGCCTGTTATAATCTCAATGTTAGGGACATGTTTGAAATTTGTACTAAGGTATGGGTTTCATATTCAATATTTAAAACAAATTTATCCTAAAGGCATATTTATTTGTTTATCACTACAAAGCCTTCTCACTGTAACCTTCAGTTTCGTATATGTGTTTCAAATTTTTACTCATTTATTTATTTAAATAGCATTTGATCACCTATTTATATGTCGGTCTGTGATTCAGTGGTCTAAAATTGATTACAAACCAATTTATTTGACTTACATATTTTTATGTTATGAACCAAGTTTTTTATTTCTTAAAAAGATACGTCTGGAAAGCAATATGTATGGATATATGTGTAAATCAATATTGGATATTTTATTTCCATAATTGTTCAAAACTCTGTGGGATAGCTGTTGAAATATTCATTATTATACCAAGCATCTGACACATTATCAATGCTCATTTTGTAAAATATTCTGTTTGAGACTATACATACATTTATGAGCATTGACAATATGCCAAAATGGAATAAGAAAACAGCACCCTGTTAGCTTTCACTGACTATAGATGCAGCCATGGACAAGAATGGGTAGAAGGTGTTTGCTAGTCTTAGAAACTTTAGGCACCTTAAAAATGTCAACTGAATTTGAAGCCACAATGGATGGTAAGATAAAATTTCAAGTAATCTATTATGAATATGTTGACTATCAGAATAAAGAATAGGGAAAGCAGCGCAGACTGTAAATTATAGCGTCTTTTGGAGATAAAGCAACCTCGTAGTTTTGAAACAAATATCCTGAGCCAGACAGGAAGTATGTTTTCTATCCTGTATTTTAAACGAGAAATTATGTTCACAATCTTTGTTGATTTTCAAAAACATTCAGTAGTTTACGTAAATATTGATAGCCAATAGTGGGGATATGGTTGGAGGCGCACATTCTCTGGTCTGTTTTTCCAATAATTGCAAAAACATGTGTTCCTGACATTGCCGGTTTGAAATTGTTGTTGGAAACATAAAATAAATTACAAGTGACTAACAAGAGCAATTTACAAAAGATACACGATCTAGTTCACTAGTCAGCAGGCATAGGTTGCATATGGAATTACTATAGTCACCGAAACTAATGGAGGGCCGGCGCCGTTTTCTAATTATAGCTGGAAGCCCTGGACCCTGTGCACCGCACCAGTAAATTGGCCCCAGTAGATTCAAAATGATTTCACTGTTTGTCATTATAGACGTTAGCTAAGGCAGGATATTTGAAGAATATGGTCTCTGTAATTTGTTTAAGGTATTATACCCATTTTTATAGTCTAGATCTATGAATGGACTATTACACTTTATATTACAATTAAGAAGACATTTGTAATTCCATTTAAGAGTTTTAAAAGATTAAAGAAAACAACGACTTTTTTATGGGGAGACAACAAAAGTGTAACCCAGGACACAAAAAGGGGGAAATGAAAACCTTGTTAAATGGGTTTTCCTTTATGACTGATTTTTTTTTTTTTAATCATAAAATGCTCTCTCTGGACAACTTCGGATACTTTCTTTCATTGCTCTGAGCTTCCAACTTTCCATTTATATAATTTGGATAAGAATGATTACATCTTCCTTCAGTAAAACCATCAAGTGCACGCATGAATATTCAAGAACTTCTTTTAGGCCTTCTTGCAGGTCTATTGGTGATACACATTCTCTTCATTTTTCTTCATCTGAGAATGTCTTCATTTCCCCTTAATTCCTGAAGGATGATTTAGACCAGATACAGAATGTGGGGCTGACATGTTTTTCTTTCAGCATTTGAAAATGTGCCACTTTCCTTTGGCATTTGTGTTTTATGATGACAAATCTGTCATTTAAATAGTTTTACCTCTAGAGGCAAAATGTCATTTTCTCTCTTTCCGCTTTTAAGATTTTTTTTCTTTGTCTATAGT